CTGCTCTTCCAGAGGTCCTGAGTTCAATTCCCAGCAACCACATGGTGGCTCACAACCATCTGTAATGAGATCTGGTGCCCTCTTCTGTGTACATAGTAAATAAACAAATATTTTAAAAAAATGCTTTCTTTTTTTTTAAGATTTATTTATTTATTACATATAAAAATGCTTTCTTAAAGAAAAAAAAAAGAAAACCATTTATTTTGTTTTTTGAAAATTCTCTAATCCTGAGGTGTATGCTGTTTCATTTTGAGGTAGTCCAAGCTAGCCTGTAACAACCTCCTGCTTCAGCTTCCAGAGAGCTCCTGTTTACAGCTGTGTGTCACCATGCATAATTCAGCAGTATAGTTTTAGATAATACAGGCTTGTGTGACATAACCCGAAGAACACACAGCTATTGAGTGACAGAGCTGTTTGGAACCTAGTGTTTATACTTTCAAGTTCCTGCTGTCGCTAAAGCCCGGGTTAGTTCATTGACACCAAATGGACAGATTTGTCTATTTTGTTCCTTGGTCTAGACCCATCCAAAGAAACACTTCCTGACTTTCAGCCCATACAGCATCAGACCACTTTGAAACCTTTAAAAAGATTTAACTATGTGTATGGGGGGGGGGTATGTACATGGAGGCCAGAGACATTAGATCCCCTGGAGATGGCGTGATAGAGGATAAGGAGCCACCATTTGTGGGTGCTGAAAATCACACCTGAGCTCCCCCCCCCCCCCGCAAGCTCAGGGGTGCTCTTAACCACTGAGCCGTCCCTCTAGCCTCCAATTTGCATTTTATCTAAAGTGTGTAACAAGATAAGTCCTATATCTTCCTGTACGACCTAATTGCTGTTTTCCTTAGATTCCGCAAGATAGCTTTAGCTGGGCATGGCAGGTGTATGGTAGCACACACCTGTCATCCCAGCCCTTGGGAGGCCGAGAAAAGAGGCGCTTCAAAATAGCCTGGCCTGCGCAGACAGGCTCTCTCAAAACAAAACAAAGCCCAGCAACCGCAAAAACCCAGAGTAACTCAGCGGACTCCTGCCAATTGTCAAGGCCAAGTTTATGCTACAGAATCTCAGATAAACTGCCGATCTGTCCAGACTCCCAGCCGGGCCTTTAATTTCATTTTATTTTTTCGGATTTATTAATTTTATTATTTTATGTGTATGAGCGTTTGCCTGCATATATGTACGTGTACCACATGCATGCCTGGTGCACTTGGAGATCAGAGGGGGCATCAGATCTCCCCGCAGCTGGAGTTACAGATGGCTATGGCGTGTGAGTCATGGGAATCCCGAGAGACCAGCCACTCTGAGCCAGCTCTCTTGCAAGCCAGTCTTAAGGTAGCTTGGCCTGGGCTTCTGCTCCGTCAGGCCACCTTCCAAGGCCTCCTAAGACAATAATGAGTGAGCCGAACCTGAGCAGCCACAGATCCCACACCTTAGCATTTCTTGCTTCTCCTAGTTTAACCACTCATCCAACCCCGCTTTGCTTCTTGGGGAGAGTCTTAAAGCACAATACCTTCGCACCTGACATCTGGCCCCTTTAAGGACATAATGGCCAGCCCCGCTTCCCGCCCACCTCTCTCTGCAAGACTGTTAGAAGTGGACCATTGTTTTATGTCCTCGGACAATTACCCGCGTGACACCCTTCTTGCCTCCTCCAGGTACGTGGGATTGGGAATTTGGCCTGGTAACTTGGCAACCACTGAACTAACTACCCGCTGAAGGTGGCTGTAGGGGCGCCGGGGTTTGTGCTTTACAGTTGGGTTACTCTGGATTCTTAACGGAAGCTAGCTGCAAAGCCAAGCGTCCCCGCCCCCGTTGCCATAACAACGATATACAACCATAACTACCCGCTCGCCCCCCGCCCCAGTTGCGTCTTCCAAAAAACAGTCCTGGCCTCTCAGCACCAAGATCCTCTCCATAACTACTTCTAGAGCAAGAGAACCAGGGTCTGCGCCCCGCTCCGAAGACAAATTGGGTTGGAGGGTTGGAGACTGTGCGTCAGGGCGATGGCGTTAAGCAGAGAGATGGCATTAGAAGAAATGAACGGAGCAGGGGTTGGGGGTGGAAGGGAACCCGGAGGTGGGGTGTAGGTAAGAGAGAGGAGGAGGTGGGGGAAGATTTTAGGAGAACGTGTAGAACTCTGTCAAAGGGAATTCAGGAAGCAGGGACACTGGGTTGCTGGGGCAGAGTTGGAGCCACTGTGAAGGCAGGGAAGGTCCAGGAGTATGGGAAGGTGTCCCGAAGGGAGCGAGAACCTCCAAGCACAGGTTGGGAGTCCAAAAATGTTCTCCAGGATGAGGAAGGACGCACAGGTGGGAGGGAGGTCCGCTGTACAGGGTACCTGTAAGTGGAGGTGAGGGACGGGAGGGTTAGGTGGAGTGGGAACTGAGACCTCCTTTCTCAGCACCAGAACTGAGTTTCACCTGACTCCAGAGGGCAGAGGGGAGAAAGATGTCGGATGAAGATGATCTGGACGACATTGAGCCAGACCAGGATGATCTGGAAAAAGAAGAAGATGAGAAGGAGACGGACGAGTGGGATGACTACAGGAAGGAGGGAGAAGAAGTCTCTGAGGAAGTGAGAGCCTGGAGGAGGGGTCCTGGGGTCCTGGGGCCCGGGGCTAGACGGGAGCTGCAAAGGGATGATGCCCTTACTGCCCTCCTCTTGCAGTGGATGCCCACCCCGCTCACGGAGGCCATGATGAAGGAAGGACTTTCTTTACTCTGCAAGACGGGCAGCGGACTGGCTCACGCTTATATTAAGCTGGAGGCTAAAGACAGGTGAGACCTGAGAAACCGGAGCACCATAAGCCTCCCCCTCTCTCATTCCTGAGGGCTTTGGCTGGAGCTCGTGTCTCTCTCATCTGATCTAATGGGAAGGGAAGGATGAAAGGTGCCTTCAGTGTCCGTGGTCTGGATGTGCCTTGTACATGCTAGACAAGCCTTTTCACCACTAAGCTGTCTCCAAGCCCAGGCAGAGACTCCACAGTGAAGGTCTGTCGAGCATGTACAAAGCACTGGTTTTGATCTCTGCACGGAAAAACAAGAACAAAGCTCCACCTCCCTCCTCTTCCCCTCCCCACTCTGTCGCCCACTGTGAGCTGTCCCTGCTGTCCTCTGTCTAGCGCCCTCTTCCAGTTCTCGCTGGGTTCTGATCCCTGATGGTGGATCTCCCCCCATGCTGTCTCCTAGGGACCTCACAGACATCAACCTTTTGCGCTCCTACATCCATCTTCGTTACGTGGATATTTCTGAGAACCACCTCACAGACCTGTCACCCCTCAACTCTCTCACCCACCTACTGTGGCTCAAGGCTGATGGCAATCAGCTTCGGAGTGCCCGACTGAATGAGCTGCCCTACCTCCAGATCGCCAGTTTTTCCTACAACCAGATCATGGACACTGAAGGCATCTCTCATCCCCGTCTAGGAAGCCTGGATCTCAAAGGTGGGTCAATAGGAAGAGATACACAGAACTTCCCTCCCTGCCGACGGGAGTAGGCAGTATATGACTCTTGGCTTAGCCACACAACTATTTGTATGGATTCAGGCATTTATTCGTTAGGACACCCACAGGACTGGAGATATAATTCAGTATTAAAGCCTTGCCTATACTTATATGAGCCTGCCCCCCCAAAAAAGGACACTTATTATAGTTCATTATAATATTCTTTTTAAATTTTATTTTTAATTACATGTGTGTGAATATGTGCAGGTGTCTGTGGGAACCAGAAGAAAGTGCCAGATCTCCTGTGATCTGCCTGATGTGGGTGCTGGGAACTGAACTCAGGTCCTCTGGAAGAGCAGCCAATGCTTCTTAACCACTGAGCCATCTTTCCAGCCCCTCCTTATAGTATTCTTTATGATAGTTCTTCATGCGGGAGATACAGCAATGAGCAAAACCAAAAATCTCTATTCTTAGGTAGAGTCAATTCTAGTTCAGGGTGATGGTCAGTTAGCAATCCACATAATAAGTAAGTATGAGCCAGTTGTTGGCTTGCAACTCCGGTCCCTCTATGCTGGAGGTGAAAGCAAGATTGCTGGAGTTCAAGGCCAGTCTGGCCTTCATAGGTAGTTAGAGGTCAGCTTGGCCTACAGAGTGAGACCCTGTCTAAAAACTATAACAGAAAACATAACTCACAAAGGAAATAAATTCTACAGAAGGGTAGATTGGGGAAATACCACTGTGAAAGGCACAGGCGACTCTTCCATTGAGCCATATCCCCAGTTCTATTATAACTTTTTTTAAATCTTCTATATGATTTTTTAAAGGTTTATTGATACATTTTATGTATGAGTGCTTTGTTGGCATGTACGCCTGCACACTAGAAGATGGCATTGGATCCCTTTACAGATGGTTGTGAGGCGACATTCAGTTGCTGGGAATTGAACTCAGAACCTCTGGAAGAGCAGTCAGTGCTCTTAACCGCTGAGCCATCTCTCCAGCTCTGACTTACTATACTATACTACTATAAGTCTGGACCACTAGGCCCAGCACAGATGACAATTTCAAACTGTTTGTTCAGGGAAAACATCATTTGACCAAAAATGTGCAGGAGGGAAGGAAGTCAGCTGCGTGCGTGGCTTAGGTATCACTAATTCGTTCCCCAAGCACAGACAGATAAACCCTTCAGGCCCACTTGCCACAGGGCCCCAAAGATGTTAATCTGGGGTTATTCCTCCTCCCTTCTACCCTGCATTAGAGGGAGAGAGGATACAGAGGGCCAAGATTTCCAGTGCTAAACGCTCAGAACGGACCTTTGAGCTCTTAATTCCCTTTTCTGCAGGGAACCGCATCCACCATGTGACGGGTCTGGACCCTGAAAAACTGACTAGCCTGCACACCCTGGAGCTTCGGGGGAACCAGATAGAAAGCACATTGGGGATCGGCCTTCCTAAGCTGAAGAATCTCTTCCTGGTAGCTCCCTGGGCCCTAGGGAGGTGCAGGGAAGGGAGCACAGCCTTGGCTTCCAGCAGCCCCGGCTGCTGGCTTCGTCCCCACGAGGATGGCCAGCCCTTGCGTGGTGCCTGACGCTGTGGAGACGTCAAGTCAAGACAGTCCATACGGGCTTACGCTTAGTGTCCTAGTATTTGGGAGGCCAAGCAAGGAGGACAGCTGAGAGTTAGAGGCCAGCCTAGGCTACAGAACAAGATTGTCTCTTAGAGGAAAAGGGAGAGGAGTGGGAAAGGGAGGCGTCCAACCTAGCAGGGCATGATGTGTGGGAAATGCAGAGAAAATGCCTTAGTACAGGTTGTTGCAAAACTGCTATTCGGGTACAGAAAGCAGGCTAAGGGGGCCATTTATTGTTTATTGAGACAGAGTCTTTTTGGGGAGGGGTTAAGACAGGGTTTAAACTGTGGTCTTGACTGTCCTGGAACTCGATCTATAGACCAGGCTGGCCTTGAACTCAGAGATCCACCTGCCCCTGCCTCTCAAGTGCTGGAGGACATTCACCACCACCGCCCAGCCTGAGACAGGGTCTTTTTTTGTTTTGTTTTGTTTTGTTTTGTTTTGTTTTTTGTTTTTTCGAGACAGGGTTTCTCTGTGTAGCTTTGCGCTTTTCCTGGGACTCACTTGGTAGTCCAGGCTGGCCTCGAACTCACAGAGATCCACCTGCCCCTGCCTCTCAAGTGCTGGAGGGCATTCACCACCACCGCCCAGCCTGAGACAGGGTCTTATGTAGCCCAGGTTGACCTGAAATCACTACATAGTTGAGGATGACCTTGAATTCCTCCTGATCTTCCTGCTCCTATGTCCCAAGTGCCAGGATTCCAGTATGGACCATTATAATCAACTATATTTTTGGTTTTGGTTTTTTGAGACAGGGTTTCTCTGTATAACAGCTCTGGCTGTCCTGGAACTCTCGTTGTAGACCAGGCTGGCCTCGAACTCAGAGATCTGACTGTCTCTGCCTCCCGAGTACTTGGATGAAAGGTGTGGGCCACCGTTGCGTGTGTGTGTGTGTGTGTGTGTGTGTGTGTGTGTGTGTGTATGTGTGTGTGTGTGCAAGTGTGCAGCTGTGCTGTGTGTGGAAGCCTGAGGTGGACTGCGAGCATCTTCCTCAGTGGCTTTCTACCTTATGTTCTGAGGCAGGATCTCTCATAGAACCTGAAGCCCCTTATTAATTAGTCTGCCTGGCCCGTAGGCTCCAGGGGTCTGCCTGTCTCTACCCCAGCAGCTGGCATTACAGACTGTACAGCCCCAAGTGTGGCTTTTGACGTGAGTGCTGGGGACACGAACACGAATTTTACCGACTGAGCCATCCCCATGGCCTGGGTTTTGTCTGTTTGTTTTTTACTTGGTTTTTAAAGGTCATACCACGTTGTCCTGGCTGGCCTATGTAATCCAGGCAGGCCTAGAATTCACAGTAATCCTCCTGCCTCAGTCTCCCAGGTGCTAGGATTTGCAGATGTATGCCACAATATCTTGTTTTGTTTTTATTACTTTTAAAGGGTATTTATTTTTATGTCTATGAGTGTTTCATCTACATGTATGTATGTATGTATGGGTAGTGCCATGTGTGTGCCTGGTGCCCCTGGAGATCCAGAAGGAGGTCAGATCCCCTGGAACTGGAGTTACAGATGGTTGTGAGCTGCTGTGCGGGTGCTAGGAACTGAACCTGGGTCTTCTGAAACTGCAGCGGGTGCTCTTAACTGCTGGGCCATTGCTCTGGCCCCAGGTTTACCTTATTTTTGAGACAGGATCTCCCTGTATAGTCTACACGGGTCTGAACTCCTTATGTAGCTTAGACTTGTCCTCTTGTCTGTCCCCTACGTGAGTGCTGGGGTCACAGCTGTGCACCACCTTACCAGGCTCTAAGTGTCTGTCGCCTTAGGCTGGACGTGCTGCTTCTGGAATGGTACTACAGCAGCTCCTCAGTGCTTCAAGCAGCTCTTGATGGGATGGCTAGCAGGAGGACACAGCTGAGCTTTTGTTAGGGGAAGCTTCTTTGTTCTTTTCCTTTGGTCTATCTTTTCTTCCTCTCTTTCTTTCTTTTTCTTTTCTTTCTTTCTTTTTTGTAATGAGGACTGAAACTAGCTCCTTGTACACACTATAGGAATGCTCTGCCACCAAACTGCCTCCCTAGCCCAGAAACTAGTCTGTGTTTCTAGTTTCCAGTAACATTTTTATTATTATTCTATCATCATCATTTTTTTTGTAGTTCTGGGAAATCTAGTCTTTAGACTTCTTTCCCTTTTCAAATCAAAGTGACTTTACAATTACTTCTTTATTTGGGGATGCACGCACAACACAGTACACAGATGAAGTCAAAGATGACTTGGAGGAGTTCTCTTTCCACCTTGTGGGTACCGGGGAATGACCTGGGGTGGCCAGGCTTGGCTCATGGAGCAGGCTTGCTGGCCCTTCTTTGTCCTTTTTAAGGGGCGGCATTTGAAATAGGGTCTCACACTATAGTCCAGGCATGCCCGGAGAGTCACTAGGTAGCCCAGGCTGGCTTCTCAATCTTCCTGCCTCTGCCTCCTGAATACTAGGATTGGAGGGGTGGGCTGCCCCGCCTAGATTTGGACTTCTTCGTTCTCTATACCACACTCTCTCATCTGTCCCTACTCTCCTCCACTCCTCCCTCTCTCCTTGGCTTTCTTCTTTGCTTCGTCATCCTTTCCCAGCTCCCCGCTCTCAGCTCCCCCTCTGAGTCAGTGTGTTGGGTGCTGGGTGCAGGCTCAAAACTTGCTGAAGAAGGTGGAGGGCCTGGAGAACCTCAGCAACCTGACCACCCTGCACCTTCGAGACAACCAGATTGAAACTTTGGATGGCTTCTCCAAGGAAATGAAATCACTGCAGTACCTGAACTTGAGGTACGGGTGTGCGTCCTCTCTAAGACCCACTTTGTATCCATCCATCACCAAGAGCAACTTCTGAGCCAGGGGCCTCTCCCAGTAACCCACAGCTGGGTCCGTACCTTGTTCTCCTTCTGGGTCTGGTCTTCTGCTTTCCTTTTCTTTCTTCTGTAGTTGGTTCAAAGAGCAACACAAAGATCTTCTTGGGAGCCTTGAACCCTTATGTTAATTTAATCCATAATGAAAAAGAATATACTGTGTTTAGCTGGGCCTATGCTATGTTTCAGGAACATCTAAAAGAATCAGAAGTTTTCCCCTGTTTTTTCTCCTTTTTCTTTCTTTTCTTTTTGTTTTGTTTTTTGTTTTTCCAGACAGGGTTTCTCTGTCCTTGAACTCAGAGATCCTCCTCCGCCACCTCCCGAGGGTTGGGATTAAAAGTGTTCACCACTGTGCTTAGCTTCTTATTCATTTTTAAACGTGGGGGTCTTGCTACATTACGCAGGCTGGCCTGGTCTCTTGAACTCAATGTCCTGGGTGGCTGAGGTGATAGGCTCTCGTCACGATGTTGCTAACTCTTGTTTTGAAGCAGTTTACAGCCTGACTCCGCAGCCATTTTCCTGTCTGTAACCTACAGAAATGCCCTTCTCACTCTCCTAGGCCCCAATTACTCTTCCCATTTCTTGTCTCTTTCTTCCTGAACTGAACATTACCTGTAGAGGACAGCTCTTAACTGATATTAAACATAAAATGTAGCTGGCGGTGGTGGCACACGCCTTTAATCCCAGCAACCGGGAGGCAGAGGCAGGTGGATCTCTGTGAGTTCGAGGCCAGCCTGGTCTACAAAGTGAGTTTCAGGACAGCCAGGGTTACATAGCAAAAGTCTGTCTTGAAAAACTAAAAAAAGAAAAAGAAAAGAAAAGAAAAAATACAAGGCCAGATGTGGTAGCACATGCCAATAATCTTAGCACTTGGAGATCAAAGGCAGGAGGATTGCTACAAATCTGAGGTGGTAGCCAGGTCTAAATAGTGAGTGGTTCTGTGCGAGCTGGGTACACAGTGAGACTTTGCCAACAACAACAGCAAAACCAAACCAGTAACAGCAACAAAAAGAAGGGGATGTGGTGGCTCATGCCTATAGCTCCAGCACCTAGGCGGCTCAGGCAAGAGGATGTCTGTGAGTTCGAGGCCAGCCTGGGCTGCATAGCCAGGTTCTGTGTCACACCCCCCCCCCCAACACACACACAAGGAAGGGAGGAGGAGGAAGAAGGAGATGAATGGTCAGAGGGGTTTTTCTCTCAGCAGCTCTTTTCTGATAGACAATATTTGATTATTATTTTTTTGTGGTTCTATCAATCAAACCCAGGGCCTCCTGCATATAAAATATGTATGGAGCCTAATAAAATGCCGAGAGCTCAAAGTAAGCAACGTTCCTCAAGGCCCACAACATCTATTGAGAATAGTCTGGAATACTTAAAAATGATTTCATTATTGTTTGAAAGCCAGGAACATGCCTTTCCATACAGAGTCTCAGAAAGAAGTACGTTAGAGGACTGGCCTTTTTATTCAAGCTGAGAGACCCAATCCATCCCTGGCTCTGGGTTCCTTACTGAAGGAGGCACCCACACAACACCCAACTCCACAGCACCCCACACTTAGGCATAGGCTCCTTCCCTGCTGACCTGCACCTTCTAACTTCTGTTGTGGTGTGGCTGATAGAAAATGTCTGCTTCTATAAGGGACATTTGTCCTTCCTCTCCAAATACAAGACAGGCTGAGGCCTAACTTTGCCGCTCCAAAGTTTTAAGATGACACATCACAGAGTAGACGTTGGCATTTAGGGACTCCTTGAAGGGTAGAGGTGGGATTGGGGAATTGCATCAGGCAAAATCTGGCCACACCTGGCCGACCAGTCCTCCACAGTCATTGCTTTTAGGGCCCGGCCGGAGGTGTTCTTACAGAGGAAGCCCAGTTCCTAGGTGCCACTCAAAGCCCATTTTCTGAGCTGAGCCCTCTCGACCTCACCCACAGGAGCAACATGATTTCCGACATAGGGGAGATGGCCAAGCTGCGGGATCTGCCGAAGCTTCGAGCCTTGGTGATGTTGGACAACCCGTGTGCAGATGAGACCGACTACCGCCAGGAGGCCCTGGTGCAGATGGCGCACCTAGAGCGCCTAGACAAAGAGTTCTTTGAGGACGAGGACCGGGCTGAGGCAGAGGAGATCCGTCAGAGGATGAAGGAGGAACAGGAACAAGAACAGGATGTAGATCATGACATGGAACCATACCAGCCACCAGCTTAGCTGCCCTTCCAGATGGTAAGGGAAAAATGCCAGGGAGACAGCGGCGGCGGGAGGTCAAAGGCTGGCCACACCGAAGAGGCCAGGAGAACCCTTAGCAGAGACCAGAGTTAGGGGTTGGAGGTGTCTTAGGTATGAAGAAAAGATGAGAGGCCCAGGAAGAGCTGATAAAAGATACAGGAGACCAGAAAAGTGAGAACTGGAACGGCAGGCAGCGGAGGAGCTGATGTGCAGCCATACCCGGCGGAGACGGTTCCTAAGGGATAGATAGGTCTGGGGGCACGGAGGAGCTGATGTGCAGCCTTACCCGGCGGAGACGGTTCCTAAGGGAT